TTTCTGGAAGTGTGAACTATGTCAAAATAAAAGAATAAAAATTCATAGCACTCCATCAAAGTAATAAAATGTAATCATTAAAAGTGGTGTTTATTTATTGGCAAGCGATGATGTCGTTGTTCAGCGAAAAAAGAAAAGCTGTTATAGGATTCATTTTTTCCCCCATTTTGTTATATATACATGTATCTATAGATACACAGAAAAAAATCCATGAAGGATATTCACCGTGATGTTAATATCTGTTATCTCTGTGTGGTGGGATCATGGATGAAGTTATTTGTTTATTTGTTTTTCTATATTTTCTAATTTTCCTAAAATGAAAGTGAATTAAGGGAAAGGTTTTCTTTCCAGGGCTGTAAGGGTGTCTTCTAAGAAGAAATATAGTAGACTATTCTGAACGGTCCAAGTCCCATTTTGCTCACAGGCAGAACAAACAATTGTATACACAATCGTCAAATTTGCTTGCTTTTGGGCTTCCCTGGTGGCGCAGTGGTTGAGAGTCCGCCTGCCGATGCAGGGGACGCGGGTTCGTGTCCCGGTCTGGGAAGATCCCACATGCCGCGGAGCGGCTGGGTCCGTGAGCCATGGCCGCTGAGCCTGCGCGTCCGGAGCCTGTGCTCCGCAACGGGAGAGACAACAACAGTGAGAGGCCTACGTACCACAAAAAAAAAAAAAAAAAAATTTGCTTGCTTTCCCAGTATTCTATATATAATTTATGCTTTTCTCCTAGACAACCTGTGCCTTACTGCTGATTTGCTTACCCTTTTCCATTTATATTGCCTGCCTTTGCAAAAGAGACTACCAAATAATAGATAATTGGAGTTGTCTATTATTCCCATACAACAATATTATTTTATTTGTGTCAAGCAGCTCTACTCTCTGCCCTTCTCATTTTCATCAAAAACTCTGCTTCTAAGAATCCTCTCGATTCTCCACCCCTCTCCACAACCCTAGGGTGTCAATGGATACTCAAAACCGCAGGAGGAATATATTTTATCTTCTTGGAGCATCAGTTTTACTCAGAAATGGAAAGGATATAATGTTATTATTAGAGTAAAATAAGTCATTATATTAGCAATCAAATTAAAAATTCCCATAATTTAAAAAATATAATGGGCAACTTCACAAAATTTAAAGCTCACAAGCCAGGGCTTTCCATTCTAACCCTTGGAATTCTGGAGGTAAACATTCCTTTCTTATCTACCTTTAAGGATTCTCCAGTGGAAAAGTTTGGGAAGCAGGGATCTAAGACATTCATCCCTTTAATTGCTCCCCCATTAACCATTAATTCTTCCACATCTAATGAAATGAGCCCTCGCCCCAGGAGTGTCTACTCAGAAAGATGCCCTTCACACAGCCATCTTCTGCTCAGAACTGTTTGTCCAATACAGTACAATTTACAAACCACGGTATTCTTTTAAACATTGGCATTTTATACAGGCGTAACTCAAAACACAAAAGTTAAAAAGAAAGAAAATGATTATGGAACACAATGTAAAGACCGATCAGTTGCTTAGCAATAGAACCTCTGTACAAAGTGAGCCCTGGAGGTAGCCCAATTAAACTCTACAGGCACTACCAGAGACCTGCTATTTTCAGGATCAATTCAAAATGTATAAAGTCTTAAACGGTATACATTAAAAATAATGAACCCCAATAGAATAAAGGTACATGAAAGAAAAATCTTGGCAAAATAGTCTAAGATTAGACTATTTTAGACTTAGACTATTGTTAAAAAAACAAAATTCAGCTGAGTGAATTTGAAGACCTAGTTGGCTTTATCCAACGACTTGTGAATTGGACAGCATCCCATCTAACAAGTAGAAAGGGGCTCTGAGAAGATGTAGGAAATGAAGAGTCTTATAGGCAGAAGGGGATAGGACAAGGAAGTCAAAAACAAAAGAAAGGATTTTTTTCAGGCAGATCACCTTCCTTTAGGGGAGGGGCAGGGGTCTATCCTGAAGATTACCTTACTAGTGTTGATCAGGAAATTCCAGACGGATAGGTTTAAAATTTCACTCCTGGGAGAGGCTGAAACTGCAGTGAGGTAAGGTTTTGGTTTGCTGATGTGGGGCTTAGCACAAAGGGCTCCGTTTTGGGCCTGTTGTTTCTTCTTTAATGCTACTGTCATTTACAGAAACAAAAAAGTCCAGTGCCTTAAGTCAGTTTTAGTATGTGCACAAAAACACGTTTCCCTTTAGGCCATTCAAATTGCCTATAATGAAAAAAGTCTCAATTCTAAAAATTAAAATAATGGGAGGCTGACTCTTAAGAACAGAAAGTTTTCAAAGAAAGGAGTGGTAACTGGTGAAACCAATTTTCCTCCAATGTAATTTTACTTGCTTAATTATTACACAAACATAATGTTCCTAACCTTTAAGGCATTCCTTAAGTGGAATAAAGGCTTGTTTTCTCACTAGCTAGAACACTGACATTTATCCCTAGGGGGGAGAATCACTGGAATGAAGCATGCATATTTAACAATAGGCACAGCAATGGTTTTTAATTATCACTTTGAAGGGTCGCTTTCAAATATGAACCGTTTTCTCTTCCTATTCCAGGTGACATTTGGATTACCTATTTTGTGTTCTGCTCTCCACTATGTCTTATTTGGTTAATGTCAACCAAAGGGCCCCAAATCATCTAATTTGAAAGCAACAGAAGGCAATGATCATATAAAATTCTGTCTTACCAAGAGTAAGCACTCAGGAAAGGTGTATTGAATTAATTTGCTGACTTGATAAACATAGTGTTTTTCAGAGGGCCAGAGTGGGGATATTTCATTGTAAGAAAGTAGCCTCAACTAACTACATAGGAAGTGCACTAATGGATCTCCTGAGCTAAAGAACCATAAGACTACAAAGACTTGAGTCAACAAGCCAACTAATTCTGTTGCTGGGCTCTCAGATCCAGCTTGGAGGCAGTCCCTGAGATAGATCAGGAAAAATATCAGGAAAAATAATCAATTTTTATTTAGCACACTGCATTGTATAGAGGAGGCACTCAGTGAATGTTTGATGACTATAATGGTGACAATAAACATGCTCCTTTTATCACCTACGACAGAGGTGCAGTGCTACTTCATTCAATTCATTCAACAAACATTTGTTGTGTTCTAAGCACTAGAGGAACAGTAGTGAGCAAACAAGACAAAAATTTCTACTTTCCTGGAACTTACTTTCTAGTTGGAGTAGAGAAAAATTGGACAACAGGTAAGTAAAATATATAGTTGATTAGTGGTAAGTGCTTAGGAGAAAAGTAAAGCAGGAAGAAGGCATGAAATGTTGAAGTTAAAGATGCAGATTGAGTGACCAGGGAAGAACTCCCTGGGAAGGTGACTTTTAGTAAAGATTTAAAGAAAGTGAAAGTGAGGGAAAAACATTCCAGACAATGGGCACAGCATGTGCAAAGGCCCTGAGGCAGGAATTTCAAGGAACAGCAAAGAGGCATAAGATGCTAGAAATAAAGGTGTAAAGGGCAGACCACAAAAGCCCCCATAGTTCACATTTAGAACTCCATATCTATTGAAAGATGGGAAGCAATTAGGGTTTTGACCAGAGTAGTGACCTGACCTGACTTAGGTTTTACCAGGCTCACTCTGGCTTCTCTGTGGAGAGTAGACAGCAGGGGAGCAAGGGCAGGGCAGGAAGAGGAGATATTTGTTTTAAAATGCAGAGTCTGGAGTTTTAACAAACTCCCTAAGTGATTCTTACACACAATAAAATTTAAGAACTGATACTTTGAATTATCTAGGCAGTTGAGACAAAAATTGATTTTGCTTTTTGATTATTTGATAATCACTAATCTACTGCTTCATTTTGCCTGTGGAGAAACAGAGTCTAAGCCATCAGACTAAATTCAGCCAACAACTGGTCAATTCGGCCATGTACTCTCCAAACAGTACTTTGGAAAAAGAACTCCAAAGGGATCTTGGCTTCTTGCTTTGTGATACAGGGCACCCTCTGAGATCTCTACAGAGAAGAAAGCTAGAGCTAAAGTAATCATGCGGTGCTGATGTATTTGAGAAGATTGCAGAGCATGTACTCCATAAACATGTTTCTGGATTCAGCTAAAATGGAGCATATAGGAAGGAAATTTTCTAAATTTTTTGGAAGAAAGTTTTTCACTTTCTTTTTAAATAGAAGTTAGTGAGCACCTGTGTCTTATTCTAAACATATATATCTGTAATATAGAGATTCTAAATTTTTATTAAAAATATATTCAAAATATGTGTATCTAAATAAAATTCATGATCACTACTTTTAAAATATACTAATAGAAATTTATATTCACAAAAAAATTTAACAATTCTTTCTGTTTCTTAATGATAATAAGTAGTATGTGTAGCACATTATAATTAAGATAACAAAGAGACTCAGTTCTGAAAACCTTACATAAACATTTCTACTTTATACTTGCACTACACACACAAACACACACACACATACCTGTATAGCGTAACTAGTTTGTGATCTATTCAAGGACAAAGATTGACTTCTATTTATTCTTTAGTTTCTTTTATATGACTCTGAATTACTTAATACACCTCCTCTGAATTCTGCATACCATAGGCACACAGGTAATGCCTAACTGACTACTGACTAACCAATCTAGAGCAATGCAACACTGACAATTAATTATCGGATATTTTGTTCCTCTATCTATTTGACTTTTTTGGCTCCATCAAAAACAAAATTTAAAAATTCCAAGAGGATACAACCTTTAAAACTGAGAGACACATAAATAAAGTGGATTTACTGGATCAGTGTATTATTTTTTCATGAGAATATTTACATCCTGCCACTATTTTTCCTTGGGCATAATCCCTCTAAGGTATTTCATCATTAAAACCTAATTTAATGTGAATTTTTATAAAGACATATAATAAACTGAATTTTTAAAAAGCATTCATTGCTAACAGAATGATCTGTCACCCAGGCACAGGTTATTATTTTGAACAGAGTACAGGTAATTGGTTACAAATAACGGTTACTGATTACCTTCTTGAGTAGAAGTAGCCTCTAGGTGTTGAAGTTTAAGGCCAGTGTCTAATCTTTGAGGCTTTGTATACAGAAATAAGTAGCAAAGAACACAGACGCTGATGACAAAGGCAAGTAAAACAAGGGCAGCAATTCCCAGTCCAATCAGAGCGCCAATGCTGAGGAAAACAGAAAAAACACTGTGACTGTCACACAAACTTGTTTGCACATAAAATAAAGGTTTAAGTATTGTTAATACTTGCTTCAGTCATTCATACCAAATTATGTTTTATTATAAACAGTATATGATTGAAATCTACGGCTCACCTTTTTCTACCATCAAATTCTTATGATATTTCTCTATACATTTATATGTTAATATTGGTATAGAATGCCATGTGAATTCATATTACAGTAAAAGGTCACATGATTCTCTAGGGATGGTTCAAAAACATTTCTATCAGATAAACCTCTATTATTAATATATTTTAGGAGGAAAGATTAGGTTCACCAATAAAAGATGAATAGAAAGATATCTACCTCTGCAAAAACAGTGAAACAAATGTTTACTGGAAGTGTAGAACTTTTATTCTGGAGACATGTATGGGAGTTATCATGTATTAATATACAAAACCACAACCATTACAAGAGAGGAGAAGAAAGTTTAATTAAAGGAAAGCAATGTTTATGAAATTTATATAAAGTTCATGTTCAATCTGAATTTTTCCTTTCTAAAAGAGCATAACACCAATGGCTTCTAGCATTTAGGAAGAAACCCTTGTACTTTTCTCTAAAAATACAGTGTAAATATGATATTATTTGCACTAAATTTGTAACAATTCCTTCTGATACAGTTATCTATAAGTCTAATCACTTGAGAAATAATACAATTTTCACAAACCTGTGAACTTATTTTTAAATGGGAAAAGAAGTTTGGAAAAAAGAAAATTATCTTGCCAAACTAATATGAAAACATATGTACTTTACTTTCATGAGCAATATGTATGTGTGGGTATGTAAATACTTAAAATTAGATTTTAAGCTGCTCAAGAGCAGATACTTCTGTTGACTTTCCCACAGTCATGTGCATACTTATTAAAAGTGTTTAATAGAGTATTTAGCTTGTAATTAATGTTTCATAAATGGAAATAAATGATAATTGACTGGTGATTGATCCATTAGTAGTCAATGAAAAGTAATCATCATTGAAAAGTAACAATCATTGAAATGATCACTGAAAAGTAGTGATCTTTTTCTTCATTATTTTCCTGTCTTGCCTTTCAGCTTCTGCTATTTCCCAGACATGAGGGTGCGAACAAATGTGACATGCCGAAAGTGAGGGAAGGGAGAATTTGACCAGGGGTGCTAGGTGTGTCTTCCTGGGAGGAAGAACAAAATTAAAAGTGAGGGGCTAAGCTCATCCTACTTATCCTAATTTAAGGAGATAAAGCCCCCTTGCAATTTAGAGATTGCCTCCTGAGCCAGACATGGGAGCAGACTTCAAAAGATTCTTGTGCTTGTTAATTACTATCAGCCCAGTTCCCCTAGCCCTGCACAGAAGTGAAGACTGGGTAATTTTCTGGCTAGAGTCAGTATATAGTTGCATATTTAAATTGGAGTTTGCCCTCCCTCACTTGATGCCGTCTCTTCCAAGGGGTAGACTCCCTGGCTCTGGCAACTCCTCTTTCATGCTTGTTTGCACCAAAGCTGACTTTTGTACATCATATGTGTAGGGAGGGTTAGGACTGCACAGACACGTGGGAACATAATCCATTTAATATTTATTATCTGCTTCATAAAGCAGCTAGGAGGCCAGACATCTGGAAAGATTCCTGAAATGAGAACCCGGTTATTAAAAACATCTTCAAAGTGAAAAAGTAATTTAGTCAATTAAAAGTAAAATTGTCAACTTAATTAAATTCAGTGTATGTATTACAGACTTTACATGTACACAGTTTAAAAACCAGGCCACATGATTGGAAGGAAAAACAAAAACAAAGCATGTCACTTCTTCCTGTTATAAAAGGATGTTCTTCATAATCCTGACAAACTGTTTCACTGTCATAGTTCCACTTTATTGAAATGTTGCTTTATGCATGCAAAACTCTAGATAAAGATGGAGCTCTGGGAATCTCCTAAAATTTTCATTTCAACAAATAACTTATTGAACTCAAGCGTAGCCCTGTGCAACACACATTATTTTCCTAGGTCCTGAAAAAGGTTTCCAAAGGAAACCCTTAGAGGTTAGGGATTTATAAGAGGAGAAGAGATGGGAGTGGGCCAGACACAGAAAAGGGAGAATTATGCTTTCCTCACAGCAGCATAGGGCAGTTTGCTTTGCAGTCCCTGAGAGAGGGTCTGTAGCTGCTGTCACATTAATGAATTCTCCTACTTAGCAACTTCATTCACCTGGAGGTACCATACCTGTGCCTTTCTGCAGTGGCTGCAGAATCTCAGAACAAATGCTAATGACTTCTGGGATATTTTTCACAGTTGGACTATTTTAAATTAGGGGAGAGAGCAAAGAATATGAGGGAAATGAAGTTCTAAATTTTTACCTTCCCGTTGTGTTCTCAGAGCTCAATAACTAAGGAAGAACCCCAGGTGGGTTTTTTTTTTTAACATCTTTATTGGAGTATGATTGATTTACAATGGTGTGCTAGTTTCTGCTTTATAACAAAGTGAATCAGCTATACATATACATATAGAAACCCAGGTTTAACATTGCCAACTGATGCCATCTGTTGAAATGATTTTTATATTTCCCAGGAACTGAGCTGCATTGTCAATGCTAAATGAAGACCCCAGCAAGCTGTTCATTCCTTTGTGCCCTCATAAACCTTAGGAAGGTTTTCTATCCTCTGCTGCTCGTCACTTTGGAACTATTCAGGGACCTGAGAATCCCAGGCACTTTTCCAATTGAGTTTGACTTAAGAGTTGCCAGTCTCTCATGGAGGTGCTGCCACCATTATTAACACCTCCAAAGACTCAGAGCTAGGTTACTATGTTATTTTCCAAAAGGCCGGCTAATATGCCAGCGCAATACAACTTGCTTCCCCAAGTAATAAGGATAAATTGTCATCATTTCCTGTTCTGGCATGATACAACTTTGTTAGTTGAACTTGTTGGTAAGTAGGCACTCCTTTTGAGATTTTTTTGAAGCTTGCAGTGTGCAAAAAAATGACTTTACTGCTCTAAGAAATAACATTTAAAGTCATTTGCTGTAGACTTGACATGTGTGCTAAGTCTGGACCGTGCTAGGAGATTGGGAGAACTAATACTCTTCTTACTTAGCAGAGTTAGCCTCTCTCTCTCTCCCAGACATAAGCTAATTTGTAAGTAACAGTTTGAGGTGGGGTGGCAGTTCTTTCCTGTAACCCTGGCACCCCATTCATTCTCCAGGCAAAATGAAAGAATCAGGTTCTAAGTCTGCAATCCTTTGGAGTGGAGGGGGGAAAAAGCATTCCGTAATGAAAATATCTGTGTAAATACTAATTGGAATATGTTAAATTACCATCATAGGAAAAAGAGGCAAGAAAGACACCACCTTTGAAAGTCTCTTCACTTTCCAGCAATGGCCAAAGAGCTCAGGTGTTGAGAAAGCGGGTGTCCTGCAAAGGTTCAACGGAGTGTGTAATCACAGCAACTGAAACTCTTCCTCTCTGTGGGTCTCCACTTCTGTTTGGGGGTCAGTGTGAGATCAACTGAGAGGGCAAATTACACAGCCCTGTTGCCCGTGTGCGTTGAAACATACACACACACACACACCCTTTCTTGATACTTGAAAGGATACAGCCAATTCCTTCTCACCCGCAAAGAGGCTTAAAATACTCTGATCTTTGGTTAACGCGTTGAGTCTCAACGGAGCTCCTTTTCCATTCAAATGCACCAAATGCCCAAACAAATCAAAAAGAGAATTAAAACCTCCTCCTTAAGTTATGTGCTTGTCTTTCTCTGCCCGCAGAGCCGCAGGCCTCGGACTGGTGCCGGCGCGAGAGGGTGAAGAGTAGTCAGCTCCCGCCGGGCGGCCCTGCTTGCGCCCTGGGCGCAGAGCCCGCTCTCCCGCGCGCGCCTCGCCCGGGTACCCCGGCGTATTCACACTTCTGGCGCCACTGCCCGACCCTCGCTGGATGGGGGTGGCACCGAGTGGGTCCTCTGCAGGGCCCTCATCAGCCCTCGGAGGCTCCTGTCCCCCCGGGGGGATCCGAGCAGGTCGCAAGGACGCGGGCGACCTCCCTCCTCCCGGACGTGGCACGACTCGTCGCCTCCCCAGCCCCATGGCCGCCAGCCCCTGCCTACCCACCTGAGGCTCCACATGTAGCTGTGCTTGTAGGGGAAGTAGCTGCCCGGCTCACTGCAGCAGTACTTGAGGTCGGCGAAGCCGCAGCAGTAGATGAAGGTGGCCCCCTCGCCGCGCCGGGGACACTGGAAGGGCTCCACGAAGCTGCGGTTGAGGCTGTAGTAGCCGGAGCACACCCGGCTGGCCTCGCTCATCTCGGGCGGCTGCGGGCGGGGGCAAAAGCTAAGCCCGCGATCTGCCCTGGCTACACACGTCCCGCCCCGCCCGCGGAGCCCCCGGCCGTGCTCGCCTCTTGCGATGCCGGCTGACTGCCTGGGCGCGCCTCTTCTGCTCGCTCTCCTACCCTCGTCCCCATGGTGTCCGGTCGCTTTACACGCGCTTCTCCCTCCCGCTACTGAGCGGTCCTATTTGCCGATCTCCGGCCCTGTACCTTTTACTCCCTCTCCCTTCGTCTGCTTTCTTCACGTTCTCCTGACTTCTCTCCACTTTTCCTCAATTGACGGAGGCATCCCCAGCTCCATGCCAGGAAGAGATTCCCACCTGAAGGAGAACGGGAGGTGTGGTGTGGGACGTGTTTGCCATCTGAACGGATGCAGCCAGATTTGAAATTCCCTTTGCCCAGGGACAGGGCAGATGGGTTTCAGGCAAACGAGCAGGGCCGGGGAAGCAGAGTAGAGGGCAGAACAAAAAGCACTGAACTACCGGTGAGGGGCTGTTGAGAAGTAAGTACCCCTTCCTCTTCGAGAAGTATGTGGAAGACGTTAAAATCTGCCAATTTAAATATCAAAGACAAGAACAAAATTTTCTCCAAAAACTAGCCATGCATTCTGTATTCAGTTAACCTGAGAAAGGAAGGACCGGTTAGAGATTGAGGTAAAGAAACTGAGGACTTTCTGCACAGGTAGGCAGAAAGAGGAGGCAACGGAAGTCGGGAGAGAGAGAACTTCATCCTTTCAAAGCACTGCAGCAATTTCTCTTGTTCTCTTTTTGTTTGGTATTCTCACTTTAGTGATTCATTTTGTTGACCAAGTTTTTAAAAGTAACAATAGTAATGGATGCTTTTGTAATAAGTCAAACAATACTATGATGTGTAAAGAAGAAAATGTTAATAGCCGTAAGATAGGAGAGGAGGTGACTATAACATCCGTAAAATTTCTGAGATAGAACTTTATTCCTTCCTCTTCCTTTTCTGCTTCTTTGCTTCAGATGAGGGTTGATTGGATGCCAGAATCATGAATTTTACCCTACTGGGTGCTGTATATTTTTGTATTTGCATAAATATTCTTGAGCTTTGTTCTTGGATGCAGTTAAGTTACTTAGAGATGTTACTGGAAGGGGGAACCCTTCCGGGGCCTGAGAGAGGGCTCTGGTGCGTTTTAGAAACCTTTCCCGATCACATGGTGTACCATCCTCTGGGTTTCCCATGCATGTTTTAGCTGTAGGAAGATTCCCCTAAACATGGAGAGTTGGGGCCCATGGAATGTGTAGCATGCAATATTGCTTTAAAGGGTCTGCATTTGTTCACCCAACCTCACCAATCCTCTTGTCTAACACTTGGAAATGAATTGTCGGAGGAGAAAAACATACTGGCAAAGCAAAAGACTTTATTGGGAAGGGGCACCTGGGCGGAGAGCAGCGGGATAAGAGAACTCAGGAGAACTGTTCTGCCATGTGGCTTACAGTCTCAGGGTTTATGGTGGTGGGGTCAGCTTTCTGGGTGTCTCTGGTCAATCATCTTGCTTGTCCCCATATTTGGTACAATTCAAGGCCCTTCCTGATAGTGCACACATCTCTTAGCCAAGATGGATCCCAGCGTGAGGGTTTCTGGGAGGTTGGCAGGACATATTATGGTCTGGCGTCTCCTCCCTCCTCTTGGCCCTTCCCAAACTCTCCTGGTTAGTTTTTGGTGGCAGCACCCTGTTCCTTATTGGGACCTCCTGTTGGGGACAACTCATGCAAGTGGTTATTATGCCTGGCCAAGGCAGGCTGTTTCAGTCAATGGTTCCCTAACAGAAACTGTTGGATTCTTTCAGGTTTGATTTTTTTTTAATTTATTTAATTAATTAATTTATTTGGCTGCGTTGGGTCTTTGTTGCTGTGCGCGGGCTTTCTCTAGTTGTGGCAAGCGGGGGCTACTCTTCATTGCGGTGCGCGGGCTTCTCATTGCGGTGGCTTCTCTTGTTGCAGAGCACAGGCTCTAGGCACACGGGCTTCAGTAGTTGTGGCACGCGGGCTCAGTAGTTGTGGCTCGCGGGCTCTAGAGCGCAGGCTCAGCACCTGTGGCGCACGGGCTTAGTTGCTTTGTGGCATGTGGGATCTTCCCAGACCAGGGCTCGAACCTCTGTCTCCTGCATTGGCAGGCGGATTCTTAACCACTGTGCCACCAGGGAAGTCCCTTCAGGTTTGATTTTAAACTTTGTTAGGCAGGACCAGAGCAGACTTGAAGGCTAAATTGATGATTCTCTTCTTGTTATAGGAAGATGGGGCACAAGAGGATGGTCATGTCGCTGGTCTTTGGGTGAGTCCATGGGACAGACCGCCAAGTGAAGGTCCTTGGCTTCGCACGGGAAACAATTCAAGAGCGAGCCATAGCAAAGTGAAAGCAGTTTATTTGGAGAGATGTCTGTTTATTTAGACAGAATGCGGTCCCTCTCAAAAGGTGAGAGTGGCCCTGAAATATGGGGTGGTTAGATTTTATGGACTGGGTAATTTCATAGGCTAATGAGTGGGAGGATTATTCCAACTATTTTGGGAAAGGGGCAGGGATTTCCAGGAACTGGGCTACGGTCCAGCCCACTTTTTGGCCTTTTATGTCAGCCTTGGAACCATCATGGCCCCTGTGGGTAGGTCATTTAGATCCTAATGTATTACAATGAGTGTATAATGAGGCTCAATGTCTACTGGAAGCCAAATCTTCTGCCATCTTGGGCCTAGTAGGGTCTAACCAGTTTCTATTGTAACCTCAACGGCTATGTCATTCTTTTAAAGGTTGTGCCCTGCCCCCTTCCCTCCTATCTCATTCTGAATACTCTACTGGGTACCTTGTGAATTACAAGGCTTACCATTCTGACTAGTGGAAATAAACTATTCCAGGCCTTGTGAAGGCTCCAAGAAGTGTACCCTCTGATCCTTTTAGGTGGCTCTTT